ACAAGCACACACACACGTGACTAACCCAAGCCAAATCGAACCACCGGAGTCCAAGAACACCGATGTGGTTGCCTACCACCATTGAAGCATTCTCTAAAGCCATGTCTCGTCCACCGTGAACCACGCCCGATTGAGTCAAGCCTTGATCGCCGTCTCTGACGTTACGATGGAGCTCTACCACTCCTAGACACGCCCACACTCACTAGCATGAGACCGGACTTGGCCAAATAGATCCACGGTGTAGGAGACGCCGGAAAGGACTTGTCGCCTAAAAAACCCGTCGTGGCCAAGCCATGCCGCGGCAAAGAGTTACCATGACCTCATCGTGAGCCCCAAAGCCGTAATTGGGCCACGTGGCATTGAACGCCACATCATGGACTGCAGGTTTCCTTTCTTTGGTTGCCTTGACGGTTCCGTGGAACCCCGTGTCTGCGATTCACCACTGTTCTGGCTGCCTCGAGTTACAAGAACATGCCGTCGAGATCTATCGAGACCACTGTTGCCGAGACCACCGTTGTCGAGACCACCATTGTCGATACCGCTGTTGCCGAGACCACTGTTGCTGAGACCACCGTTGTCGAGACCACCGTTGCCGAGACCACAATTGCCAAGACCACCGTTGTCGAGACCACCGTTGCCGAGACCACCGTTGTCGAGACCACCGTTGCTGAGACCACCGTTGCTGAGACCACCGTTGCCGAGACCACATGGCCTCGCTGGCCGAGACCACCATGGCCTCGCTGGCCGAGACCACCATGGCCTCGCTTGCCGAGACCACCATGACCCCGTCTACCGCAAGTCGTACCCTCTGGACCATGAACCCTAGTTGTATGACTTATCGAGACCATGGAAAGCCCCATCTCGCATCTTTCCGTATACGCATATCTACCTCGTTGGGCCCTATTCTTACGACCTGTCTGTCCATGACTGTCTTACAGGATCTATCCATCACCCAGCTATGGAATGTGCTACTCCGTAGTCGTGTCGAGTTGTTGCGTCTTTTGGTCGTGTTTGGTTCTTATCGCTGCTTGTTGGTGTTGTTGCCTGTGTGCCGAGCCTTCGAGCTGGCTAAGGGATCGTACCTCGTTTGGACGTTACGATCGCGGGATCCATCTCGCCATGACCGTGATGCCGAGTGTAACTCAACCCCTCGCTTTTTAGTTGACTTCATAGTACCACGAGTGTTAGCTCCTGTATTTGGCCCTAGAACATGGTCGTGATGGATTCGATGTCGATACTAACATCAATGCGGATATCACCCGCACGCTTTGAGCCCTCCATGACCAAGTCCTATGGGAGATGACCTGGGAGAAAAACAATCGTGGAACAATGAATGCCAACTCGTAGGCATAGCTTGTGGCCGCGAGTTCACCTCACCATGACCATGGAGCTACGCCTCTCTTTCGCTTTTAGTTGCTTATTCGTGCTCAAGCCCTTGTATGCTTGTACCCCGTTTGACCATCATGTTTCTCTGATTCTCGCGGTGACAACCACACCGCTTCGAATCCAAGAGATATCTCAGTGCCAGTGCACCCAGGTCAGGTACCCTACGAGTGGCTTATGCACTTGGTGTTCTTGAGTGTCGCTCCTTCCGATGCCCCGTCTTTGTCATGGCGTGTGCGTTAGAAGTAGACCTTGCTCTTGGTTGTTCTTGCTCTTATTGCCCCGATAGCCGCTCTGTTCGATCTCGTCTTGCCCGTGACGATTGGATCAAAGACCGGACTATTCCCTTTTGTTAGCAAAGCTATGGTCTAAGTCATACCTCGGACCCGTGCGTGTTGACCCGATCGACCGTCTAAAACCATCTTTCCCGAAGATGTGTCTGAGAACATGACATGGATGTGCCTAGCTAACCCGTGCATCTTTTGCCGTGTTGAGCGACTCTCTTCTCAGCTCCCGACGCTATTGTGTCGCGTGGATCGAGAGGACCCATTGTTGTCCAATCTCTTTGCGCTACCGCCTTCTACCATAGCGGGCGAGCCGAAGTACGTTGGAGCCAAGTCACAATAGAGTTAATTGTTCTTGTATGCTACTCGTGTCCAATTGTGATTTGTGGGATAAGGCTATTAAGAGCTGAACCACGTCGTTCCTCTTTCTTGGGGCCCGACTTTCAATCCCCGTCAATTCAATGACATCTGATCGAAAGATCGTTAGCCGTGGTGTTTGCTCTGGATAAGCTCTGGCTTAAACCGTTTATCGTAAAGCCATACTGGCTTGGCCATGACTTAAGCTTGTGCTTAGCAAACCACCACTTGTGATTCTTTGGCCCGAGGAAATCGGACAACCGCCGAGAGGGCTAAGCCGTGTATCTCTTATTGTCTCAATGGCGTTATTGGATTTCCTGTGACTCGTCGTCTTTTCAAGTGTTGAGTGCTCTCTTGCCTTGCGTGTCGCTTCGCGGAGTAGCTGACGATCGGACCAAGAGAACGTGGACGACGACAAGGACTGCGGAATGGAGTCAACACAGGAGGAGGAGACCCCGCTAATGGAACGCCAACGAATGGAGAATTGTACCACTATTACCTCTACATCGCAGGTGTCATGGCAACACCCTCTTTTAGAAAATCCTATTAGACATTGCATAAAATCTAGAACTGCTAGCGCTTTATAAATTATTCCTTTGCTAGTACTTTGATGCATACTACTACCTGAGCTATTATTACCATGATGCAACCCACTCTACCACGTCACCCTGCTTTGCGCACTCGCTCGCTTATATATGCTTACTTGCCTGCTTGCTTGCATATTACACCACTATACTTATTATTAACACCACTTCGCATTATATCGGGGATGTGATGCTGGTGGTGAACCCCCTGGGAATGGTTTGGCTATGGGTGCCAGATTGGTGGTGTGTGAGCGTGATGCGTGTGTCTTGGGTGCGTGGAGAGTGAGGGTTGTGTCGACCGAGCTGGAATAACGACGAGCCTGGGGCGAGTCTTGCCATGTGGTGCTATCTGGGCACTTGGATATGGAATACCCGTGGTGGGTAAATGGTAACTGGAGGTGGCCTTGGGTGTGAACCTCGAAGAGGTGGAGCCCGGGGTAGAGGTGTTGTGGTGGCACGGTAAATGGAAACCCTGATGAAGACATTCTGGCTTGGTCACCCCTAAGGACTTACTAGTACTCAGATTCACCGGGAATCCTTTATATCCCACTCGCCTTATATGGTGCGGGATGGTCAGACTACTTGGTAGAGTGATGCCACTACTGCTAGGCGAACATGTGCAAGGAGGTACGGGGTGCGTGGTTTTCCCCCACACCCTTCTGAGACTTCAGGAGGCCTTGTGGACCGGCTCTTGACATCCGGTGGGCCCCGGCTCTGTCTACGACTCACAGTATCAGCCATCCCAGACTAGACTTGGGATGTTCCAGGGCTGAGAGGTAGGGTGGCATCGTTCTAGGCTAGCAAGCGACCGGAATCTGCCTAGACGGGGCACCGTCGAGGATGGCTATCTTATGGGTATGTGAAACCTCTGCAGAGTGTATGGTTGATCGATCGATACATATGCCAACTTGTCGGCTATGGACATTTCCTGGGTTTCGCTTAAACTAGATAGAAGATGAGTCCTTCTATTCTCCCTCCAGGGTTTGGGGTATTTTCCGGCCGTGAGCCAGGAGCTGCGGGCCGTTGAGACAAGTGCCGAGAGGGAGTCGGCCTGTCGACCTGAGTGTGTGAGATGAGATACGGTGTAGTGATGTGGAGATGGTTTGGGATGGGTTGGTGGATGGATATGGATGGATGTAGATGTGTGTGGCTGGGAATGTGTTAAAAATTGGATATTATTATTACTAATGTTAGTTACTTCTCATGCGCTAAGAATGCAAACCACAGCTAAATATTAGGATCGCCAGATCCCTTGTTTATCTTTTTCACTAAAGCTCATCAGTGCTGATCATGGCCTGCACACATCTGGCGGTGTGCAGATTTTCCTGCTTCTCAGAGATGCTGACTTTAGAAGGATTAGGAGGTCTCGTGCCTACGCTCAAGTTTGGTTCGGAGATAGAATCTACGCTGCACTACGCCAACTCTGATGACGACCCATGAAGGAGAAGCCTTCACTCGATAGTCTTCCGCTAGATTAACTCTGTAATAGGTGTGTTCCCCAGTGATGTAATATCTTGTATTCTTATAATCTTATGATGTATGACTGTGATATCGACTAATATATGATAATATGATGGAATCAACTATTGGTTTCATCATATTACAATTCATTATGTGGATTTTTCCTTCGCGAAAAATTGAGGATGTTTCAGCTTAGAGCATCTCCAAGAATACCCAATATTTTCTTCTGAAAACATAGGGTTTTACAAGTCCTAAAAAAGTATTGGAATGAATAAAGAAGATCATATCAAAGAGTTTCTAATAATCAACTCTTAAAATATTGAATATAATTTTACATCAGGAATCCTATACTATTTCTAAATTATCCTAACCACTTTTATATATTCTTTCTCTCTTATACATTTGCATCATGAACCATTTCCTACTCTTTATTTTTTTCCACGCACTTTCACCTTTAGATTGGTCGACAAACACGCGTGGGGAGAGAAGATACGCACTACTTAGAAGCGTGTAACTTTACGCGGAACAGAGTGACTTTTCCCAAGTTCTAAAGTAGTTGTTGAAGAATGGTTTTTTCTCATCTTGCTAAAAACAATGATTAAGAAGGGATTTAGGGAATGCTCTTAGAGTATCTCCAAGAGTTCCCTATTTACCTTCCTAATACTTAGTTTTTAGTAAAATCAGAAAAAATCTCTCTCCAACAGTTCCTAATCTATCCTCCTAATATTTAGACACTTGGAAAAGTGAGCCAGTTCCGCGTAACTTTACGCGGCTCTTGAGTCACGTGGATCCTTCTCCCCGCGGTTTCCGCCAAAGGACCTGACGCCGATGAGTTTGTTGTTGCATCGAGAGGCAGAGCCTGCGCACGAGCCCTTCCACTCCGCCGGGGGCGGCGCGACACCGTGGTCGGAGAAGGAAGGGTGCGCCGTAGATGCCGACGTCGAGCATCCCGACGATGACACCCTTCATGTACCCGGCGACGTCTCTCCAGAACCCACGGCCCTGCCGCAGGCCGAGGAACTCCGGCGTGTGCGTGGTCATAGGCTGCAGCATGCGGTCCGGGTACGTGCGCACGAACCCCGGCTTCTTGGCCACCGCGTCGAGCTCGGTGTCCGTTCGCCTTGCCGCGAAGCCGCTGAACGCCTCCGTGTAGCAGTGGACAAGGCGCGGCTTGTCGGAGTCGGTCAGGGAGCTGGGTAGGATTAGGAAGGACTCGTGCCACAGCCGGTTGATGGATTCGTCGGCTGCTTCGGCGTTCGATGGTGGCCGGACAAGGACGATATGGGTCCGATACCCTGACGAAGAGTGCTTGTCATGGTCGAGGTCTGCGTCCGGATTGACGTAGCAGAGCGCCGGTGCTGCAGAGAGGAGGACGGTGGTGGCAATGAGCAATGGCAGCAGCAAGGTGTATGCAGAGGATGCCATTGGTTGTGTGATGCTTCCAGCTACGAGATCGAGGTGAAGTGAAGACGATGGCGATGCGTAGGTTAGCTGCTCTTTGTACACACCATGATTTGTGGTGTGGTTTTGGCAAAATTGTGAACGTATCCGCCATGGGTACCTGTGGCCGGCTGTGCCTGTACCTGTGGCCATCCATGGCTCGTTGTGCCCTGCCAAGGCTGGTTGTGGCCGGCTACTGATGATGTGCTTGTCTGCTGCTACTGATGGTGGCGGCGGCGGATGGGAGGTCGCGACGTGAGGGGTTCGACGCGTGCTCTGTGACGTCTGGCGAAAAGAAAAAAAAAGCCATAAAAAATAGATGTGAGACCCAAATTTAATTTTTAAAAGTAATTTATTAGAAACTCTTGGAGATGGCTTTTTTTTTTCCTCCCAATATCTTTTTAGAGTTGTAAAATTACAAGTTTTAGGAGAAAAAAATAGGGAATTCTTTACAGCCTACTATTATACTGTTCCGATTATTTTCATCTATAATCCGATTATAATCGTTTCCAAACCGGGCCGCGGCCTCCTTTTCCTCTCCTGTTCACGCCCGCGTGCGCTCTCTCTCCGACTGGGCGACTGCCGCCGCCGCCGCCTTACGCCAGGCCCAGGTCTTCGCCGGCGACGAGCACCCACCAGGTATGCCGTCCCCTTCTCTCTCCCTTCCTTGCTCGCGAAATCGAGCACCCGAACCCTAACTTAAACTATCTGGCTATCTGTTTTAGAATTTATATGGCTATCTGTATTCGGACCTGATCTAATTACAAGTGTATACATGCCTACTAACTTAGGATATTTGTTTTCCAATATAGTTCCATGCCCTTTACTGGGCGCCCCCCTGTTTTTCGAGTTCCGCCTGGTTCATTGCGTAGCATGTGTAATACTTCGCTTGTTTTTGCTCCAGATTTCTGGCGAGAAATTTCACTTTGAGGATGGTTCAGCTCTTTTTTCAAGTGCCGGCAGAATGTGGTAGTGTTAATACAGTTGCCATGGAAGAGAGGAGATCTCTCTGTCGCAATGTTGAGTCCATAATCAAGTCAGTTACAAAATCAGCAGGCAGGTATGAAGCTCGGTTGTGGCTCTGCGCCACTGTCTCATTGGTCCATTTGCTCAGTCACCGTGGCCAGAGGGACCTGTTTCTTGATCTCTTAGAGATGAAGAATTCCAGGCGTGATGTTGCTGCTCGCTTGCTGTGGATGATTTTCGATAAGAAACCCAAAATGGTCGGGTCTATTCTAGCAAGAAAGGCCATATACTGGAGGAGTTCTTCCGAGGTAATTTTCCTAAGAGCTCAAAACTATCTGTATTTCTATCTGTTACTCAAATACATCTTGTTTTGCTTTATTTATATGCCCAAACAAATTGCTTATTTGAAACATGTTTGCCAAAAGTATGTATAAAATAGGTCCCTAACTCAATAGTCTCAATTTGAACTTGTGCTGGTTGTAAGGACTATTATGTTGTAAATGGCATACCATTTACCCTATTTCAGTGTCTCTCATGTAAATTTGCTAACATAGTATTATGGAAATTAGTAACACACTGCTGTGTACAAGAAGGAAACTGAAATGGTATTTCAGCGACAACTATACCATATTCGTCTCTCAGCCTATTTTTAATTGCCTCTAGGTACGACCTACTTCTCTGAATGTGGTGTAGGCGTGTAGTGCTGGAGCTTGTCATGAAACTTCTTGCCATTATTTGCATATGCCTATGTTATGCCTGCTTACTTAAGTCCCCATCAAAATCAATAGGGCGCTTTTGTCCTAAGCATGCTTCGGTGCCCCTTTGCCCTCACTGCTTTAGTAGTCCCTCGGTCAAGCTAAGTAATTAGGTGTGATATTTTATATTCCCTGTTGAACTGTTGCCATGTAGCAGGAATTGGTTGAGATGTTATTTTTGGGGCCATTTTCATTGCTTACGATTTACACATGCCCCTATTACTTTCTGCAGGAAACCCAAAGAGGATAATGCAGTGGTTTGGCTACTTTGCTGTTACTGGGGAATCCACACATAAAAAGGGAGCTAAGGCACTTTCTCAGTTTGCATTTGTAAATCGTGACATGTGCTGGGAAGAACTTGAGTGGAAAGGCAAGCATGGGCAATCTCCGGCTGTAGTTGCTACCAAGCCTCACTATTTTCGTGATCTTGATGTCCTCCAGACAGTGGAGAATTTCTTGGAGTATGTCCCAGATTTCTGGTCTTCTGATGAGCTTGCTAATTCTATTAAAGATGGTGAAATACTGCAAATTGATGCAGAATATTTTGTAGATCAATTTTTATACTTGATGTATGAGGAGAATTCCAAAGATGCATGGCATGTGGTTGAAGATTTTTTGATGGACGAGCAGTTCTCCTCTCTTTGCCAGCATCTTCTAATCCATTTGGATGAGCAAAGGCTTCTTGATTTCTTAAAATCTTTAGGCAAGCTCATCAATCCTACTTTGGAGTGCAAGGAATTGACATTCCCATGTTGTTGGCTTGAGGTTCTTTTATCAGGACATTGTGATCACATATCTCTTGATGATCTTATCTTATTGAACTGTGTCATTGCCAAGGGTAGACAACTTTGGCGGCTCATGAAAGACGAAGAACAACATGAAGAATGGGGGCAAATGGAAGAGCTTTTAAAGGACGTAAATCATTTGACTGATGCTGATCATTTTGCTCTCATGAACGAACTTGTGGGGACAGAATTACCTGATGCACTTAAGTGGATAGGCATTCAGTCCTGGGTATTTTTCTGTGATTTGTCGAAAGAATGCAAATCAGGAGATTCTTGTGAATCTTTGTTCTCTCATAACAAAATAGAATTTCGCAAGGCTGATGATTACTCATTGGTTCAGAATGATGGGTTCTCAATTTCACATATGCCTGATACTGATGATGAGGATCTCACTGGAAGCAGCCATAAAAGGAGAAAGGGGAATAGGAGGAGAAAGCGGCATAGGTATGAGTCTGATGAGGACAAGCTTGATGAACTGCTTGAACTTGGATCATCTGATGGAAAGAGCGATGTTGAGTCACAACGTGGAAGCTGGCGCCTTTCAACTGATGGCTTCTCTGCTTCTTGGGACATTGTATGTACCTTCTTTCTTGCTTAATACTAGTTGTCGCCATAGTTATTGAATTTCTCTTCTTAACTTTCATTCGTTTATTATGGTTCCCATGCAGGCAGACATACCAGATCACCTTTCTACTTATTATTTCACAGTTTGGGTAAAGTGGGCTTGCTTTAGATGATTCTCCTCACAGTATGTGTAGCATGTCATTGTCAATCCTGGTACCTTTTCAGCGACAAAGTATATGAGCATGGAGCTCAGGCAGGCATATTTCTGCATCAAATCTACAATATTTTGGTGATGGGTTCTGATGGTAAGCGTTAACTTTTTGTGCTTTGATGTTACGTACCATGAATTCATTTCCTATGCAGAGCTTTGAAGTTCTATTGTCATGTGCACCCTAGAATTAGGTTTATGAGACTGTCATTTGTACTTTTTGGTAACTTTTTTTTTTACTGTCATGCTACAACTTTAAACAATTGATTTGTTTGATTGACTTCTGCCACATTTATGAATGTCCTTGCAGATTCATTCTGGGATTGCTGAACGCTGCATGATATCCAGGACAACTCTCTTTAGTTGGGCTTGCTGAAGGTTGACACCTATTGAAGAATTTTGGCTGCATAGACGTTGAATATGGTCCAGGCATTTCCTTGAAACCCATTTGGACTTTGGAGTTAGTTGCTGAGATCACAGGTGTTGACTACGCTAAGCAAAAATGAGTCTGTAATTGTGTTGTCCAGTGCTAGCGACATTTTAACGACTACACCTGTTGTACATGGATATGTACCAGATTGTTGCTGTGAATTTGACAACCTTAAAGGAATTCTTAGACACTTCCAGCTATGCATTGTACTCTGGTTCCTCAGTATGAGCTGGGAATCTGCACTGCCTGCAGTTTCTGGGAGTTTGGGAATTCTCCTAATTCATGTATCAGGATAAACATGGCGGGTGTTAACAATTCGTGACATGCTGCCAGCGACAGGTAGCATATGGTTCAAAATTTCTTCATCCCTTTTGTGTACTTGAAAAATCCTACCTCAAGAAGTCAAGATGCAACTTTTGATTTAGCAAATTACAAGTGCAATTTATGACATTGAGCGCTGAAGCCAACACCATTTAAAATATTGTACATCAAAGCCTGAAGAAACATTTAGAACAGTGGCACCGGACAGCTACATATTTTGTATATACAATTATACATTGACCATATATCCAACCTTCAAGGTTACATAAAACCTATAAAAGACTGAAAAGATTTAATTCATGAGGGAAAATTCTCGTTCAAGTGTAGAAATGATTTAATATCGAGGGATCAATTTCCCTGGATCAGTTTTATGTGACCTTAAAATAATACCTATAAATTTTCAGGCTGAAAAGGTACGATTCTCTTTGAAGTGTACAAATGACTGTATATAGCAGGGATCAATGGAACACAAATTTCAGTGCAGGGCAGCAGTACCAAACTTCAGAACAGGGTGATTCAGAGCAGGACGAGACACAAATGGAGGCATATAATTCTCCAAACCATATAGATTAACAAAAAAATGATTCATCAAGAGGGGGAAATGGGGGAAATTGGTGGTACCCCCAGCTACTGGACAGATCGAGACAGCTACATTTACAACTGATCAAGTCCACCAAAAAGAACGAGAAATGGAGGTTTGGCTACAGTGCAGGGAATTTAACTCAGAAGCACTGAATCCTGATGAAGGCGTATATTCATCAAAACTTGAATTCTTCATCTATATCAGATAAGGTATCTGGTGGATCATATACAATCATATCTGGGAAAAGCTCAAGAAAATCCTGCTTTATCTTCTCCCTCAGTTCAGGGTATGGAACCAACCCTTTCAGGATAACACGGAACGGCAACGATAGAGGAGGGTCGGGGGAGCTCCTCATGTCCTCGTAGATTTCCATTGCAAGATCAGTCAAACCAGCATCACAGAAGGCTCTCACAATGTCGCCATAAGTGTGCTGATCAAATAGCACGTCTTCAGACTTGAGATCCGCCCAGACCTGCCTTGTCTCATTAATTTTCTTGTTCCTCGCTAGCATGTATAGCATGTCTCGATAGAAGTACATGTCAGGGCGGTACCAGATTTCTTTCCGCACAACACCATATAACTGTAACAGAAAATCAACACTTAATCATCCAGATTACCATGCTAAACTTAAAAAATAACTGTTTGTTGCACACTGAATGCTATGCTCCAGGAACATCAAACTTTGGAAACACCTAAAAATGGTGATAGCATAGCAGCGTCTCCAAGCTGGGCACACTCCTGAGTAGAATGGGGGAAAATAAATTGAGGATTAGCACTCATTAGTCATTCCATTGAAATAGAGGATTTCCACTTATTTTCCTGGTGCACTATACAAGTAGTCATTTTGGCCCTTGAACCCCATTACATGTCTTTTTTCAGTTATTTTGGCTCCCAGTAAAAGACTGCCATAACAGGTGAAAGATAACTAAGAGATTTCTTTACATGATTATGTGCTACTTATCTGAGAACTAAGAATTCAATCAGGCCATCAACTCATATTGAAATTTCCTGAGTTGCCCCATATAAATGTGCCTAGCCTCATCTCTAGTAAATTGGCCTCACAAGCATTTAGGTCATAAACCTTGTCTAAAAACATGGCTTATTATATTTGAATAAGACAATTAACAAGCCTGTCAACTCTCACGATCATTGGGCCATGAGTATAATTTATTTAAGCAGCATGTGTATTTCAAGTGGGGCTTAAACCTAAAAGATAACGGACAGGTGAAAAACAGAAATGTAATAAACGGCAAAATGAAAAATCATAGAATGCACCACGAAAGAGAGGCAAAGCTCATTTTCAGCGTAATGGTTGGCAAATCCTCAACAGGCACTCAAGTATCTGGCAAATCCTTACGTTCTCCAATTAAAACAGCCTAATATATCCCCACCCCAAAAGGGAACATAATAAGGAATTAAATGTGTTTTTTTTCTTGAACTACACAGGAGAGCTGTGTATCATTTCATTAAGAAGAATAAAAAGATACGAAGGGAGGGAAGTAAGAAACCCCTCTCAGGCACCCCCACGGGGTTTAGTCAATACAAAACTCTAGAAAATAAACTAGGGAAACACAACCAGCAGCCTCAAACAACCAAGGACCTCGGAATCCAGGACCAGCGACCTAGCAAGGAACTCGTGTAAGGTCGAGGCTACCGCCATACACCATAGATTACTCTCATTAGCCACAGATTAAAGCAGCAGTGACAAATGTGTTTCAACATCAATCTCCAGGACATATTATCTGTTAAGTAAAGAAAGTAACTCCTACACAGTAGCATACTCTACAGTAAAATTATGTAAGACATCCAAGGCTAAGGCACAAATTCTAGAGGACCCTAACATAATCCACCTATACTTGAGGGACCAATGACATTCAAGGAGAGGTAGAAATCAGGCAACTGTTGCATGGATGTAGTAAAAAGAGGCAAGACTGGAAGCAGGAAAGGAATTTTCATTGAACAGGAGTGGATAGAAATTAACAATCCACATGCCAGAACCATGATAATCAAACATCCTTCACTACTGTATTACCACTGGTGTTACATTACTGTTTTTATATTTATTTAACTTTGCTTCATCATTCTCTTGTTGGGTTTCATCTCTAGCCTACGCCTATGTACACCAACTTAAGCCCTGTTTGGATCCCTATAGATAGAAGTTATCTGCTAATAATTATCTCTTTTGGAACCAAACGGGTATAGATAATAGACTAGCTAATTTTTAGTTGGACCTTTAGATAATAACTATCCCACTAGCTAGACCAAATCAGGTAATGAGTTATTAGCCAGCTAACTATTATCAGATAATGAATCCAAACAGGGCCTTACTTGGGACTAAAGGCCTTGTTGTTGCATAGCCAACGGCTCACTTGGATCTTATCACTAGCCTACACCTTTTGTTGGGTTTCATCTCTAGCTATGTTTTCCTTGAGGGGCAGGGTTGGGTACATAGGCCCCTATGCACCCAAACTAGCTACTAACTAGTCATGTGTTATACTAACTAGTTATGTTCTACTCTTATGTAGCCTATGCTCTTGTTGTAATGTGCTTGAGGTGCCAAAGAACGTGAATAAATTCTGAGTTCTTGGACTATGCAATTGCTTAAAATTAAACCCCAGCAGGTTCACAGTTTGTAACCGGTCAAACTATTTATGCTATAGGAATTTTTCAGTATAATCAGAAGTGTGTTAAGCAAGCTAAAAAAGGGCAGACCCAGTGCCGGAGGCTCCCACATGAGTGGGGTCTGGGGAAGGGATAAACCGAGACAAGCCTTTCCCCCGCAAAATCTGCGGAGAGGCTGCTTCGAACCCACGACCTGGTGACTCAGTGAGACAGCTCTCACCACTGCACCAGGCCTGCCCTTCTATGTGTTAAGCAATCTATTAAGAAAAATATTTGAACTGCTTATTTGGGCACCAAAGATCTAAAGATCAATCCTGCTTTAAGCTAGCACAGAGGACAACACAATTTGAGTAGAACAAAGCTATTTAGTACTCACACATGACAACACACTTTAGTATGCTTAAGAAGAGTAGAGGAAATAAAGAAGTCCAAACAGTGTCAACTAGGTCCCAACTTCTGAACTCAGGTAGCTCAAGTGGCGATAATGCATTACAATTTAACTGTTAGTCACTATTTAGTCCTCCAAAAAAGTAAAAGACACATAGATACAGCATTAAAATCCCCAGTCTATGATTCTAGTAAGGCAAGTCATTCTTAAATTATGTGCCAGTTCAACACAAGAATGATATCAACGACTTTTTAGTTTTTTGTAGGCAAGTTTTATAGGACGGCGATTAGACCTGCTATGTTGTATGGTGCAGAATGTTGGCCTACGAAAAGACGACATGTTCAACAGATAAGTGTCGCGGAAATGCGTATGTTGCGTTGGATTTGCGGTCATACGAGAAGGGATCGAGTTCGGAACGATGATATACGTGATAGATTAGGGGTAGCACCAATTGAAGAAAAGCTTGTCCAACACCGGTTGAGATGGTTTAGACATGTCCAACGGAGACCTCCAGAGGCACCAGTCGCGTAGTGGAATCCTAAGCCAGGATAGTAACGTGAAGAGAGGCAGATGAAGACCGAAGTTGACTTGGGTAGAGGCAATAAAAGGAGACTTGAAAGGATGGAATATACCCAAAGACTTAGCCTTAGATAGGAGTGCTTGGAAGACAGCTATTCACGTGCATGAACCTTGATTGCTTCTGCTGGGTTTCAACTCTAGTCTACCCCAACTTGTTTGGGACTTTAAGGCTTTGTTGTTGTTGTTGTTGCTGCTGCTGCTGCTAGACATGCGCATGAGTTCTCCCAAATGACTAAAACTCTAAAAGAGATGAAAAGTGCACAGCCAAAGACCAGGGCAGTGGATGGAGACTTACAACAGGAAAAACCCTCCTAATCCAACTTGCTCTGTTTTATTAATCCTATTTTCCGCTTCTTGATATGTCAAAACTGATTTTTGAAAACAGCGCATCAGAAGTTCAGGCTACCATTTGCTACTCCAATACGAACGCAGCTTAACAATCGACTGCACTACTGGTTTTTCAGATTCGACCGATTGGGATCCCCATTTTGCAATTCAAGGTTCAAAACCACGCAGCAAACCACCTTGCACACCGTTCCTTTCAAGTAAATCGATTATTCTGCACTACAAGAATCAGTAACGAGAATGTAGTCGTGAACTGAACAGTAGAGCGCGCAGGTTTTATTGGGATAGGAGTGTAAAACCTTCATTGAGAGGATGACATGGTCCTGGCGGAGGAGCTCGGCGAGGAGGTCGGTGCGGAGGAGCCGCGACACGTGCGAACGCATGAACTGCTACAGGCGCGGGTGGCCCCCCGCCGGGGGCAGCGCCGCGAGCCGCTTGAGCTGCGCCACCGCCATGAGGCCCTCCTTGCCCATCTCCTTCTTCCGCCGCCATATCGACAGGCTCGGGCTCGACGCTGCAGACGAAGAGCACAGCCTCTGATGGAGGTCAACATCGGGGGCGGCCCGGAGCAGGGTTTGGAGGAGGCGGCGGTGATGGCGACGCGGGAGGAGACGGGAAAGCATTTGGGATTATGGGACCGACCGGGATTTGGGCCGTTGGTGGGCAGGCATACCAGATCACCTTTCTACAGTACTTTGTTACTATAGCGCGTGTTTAGTTCCCACCCTAAATTTCAAAAAAGTGTTACAGCAGACATCACATCAAATCTTACGATACGTGCATGAAGTATTAAATGTAGACGAAAAAAAACTTAATTACACAGTTTGGTTGAAAATTACGAGACGAACGTTTTGAGTCTAATTAATTCATGATTAAACACTAATTGTCAAATAAAAACGAAAGTGCTAAAATAGCCAAAACGAAATTCCAACTTCCCCAAATAACACGCGCTATATTCACTTTCTACTACTTTTTACTGTTACCAGATCACTATTCAACAACAAAATGTATCAAATCTGCGATGTTTTGGTGATGGATTCTGATTTCGTGAGACTGGTGCTTGTGCCTTTGGGCCATCTTTTTTTTTTACTATCATTTTACAACCCTAAACACATTTGTTCTATTTACTTCTGACACACTTGCCAATGTCCTTGCAGATTCATTCTGGGATTGCTGAACGGTGAACGCTACATGAGATCCAGGATAAACTCTCTTTGCGTCGGCTTGCTGTAGGTTGACACCAAATGTGGGTTGGTGAGAATGTTTTGTCAAAGAGATGTTGACGACGCAAAACAAAAACTTGAGTCTCTAACTGTGCTGTTATTCCTATGTCCCCAAATAAATCAATTCCTACAATTCGTGCTAATTTTATAGAAAAGAGTAAAAACATCTATGACATAGAATAAGCACCTTATGAAAATACATTATATGATAAATCTAATGATATTAATTTGACACCATAAATCTTAACGGTTTTTTTTTTCTAGAAATTTGGTCAAAATTTAAAAAGTTTGACTTAAGAGAACTATAGGAATCTATTTATTCAAAAACAAAGGAAGTACTGTGGAAGTGACTTTTTTTGCCCATAGATTTCAACTGCACCTGTTGTACATATATATTTACCAGATTGTTGCTATGAATTTGACAACCTTACATGAACTGCTACACGCTTCCAGTTATGAACTGTATTCTGTTACTCGCTTCCAGCTATGAACCGCGTTCTGGTTTGGAAATTTGCATTGCCCGCGTTTCCTGGTAGTTCGGCCGTTCTCTCCTAATCGGCAAATCCATGTATCATGACAGGCATGGTGGGCGATAAGTTTCTTATATCTCTATTATTATTACTTGAAAATTCTACCTCAAGATACAATTTTGATTTAGCGAATTACATTACATGTGCAATATATATGACATGGAGCCCTGAAGCCAACACCATTTTGAATATTGCACATCAAATTCTACCTCCAGCTACAGATTTTGTGTATGCATTGACCATATCCGACCTTCAAGGTTACATAAAGCTTATAAATTTCCAGGCTGAAAAGGCGCTGGTTCTCTTTCAAGTGCATATACAAATGATTGAATATCCCAGGGATAAATGTGCCTGGATCTTTAGGTGCTCACGCGAGCACCTTCTGCTATCATAATTGCCCAAGAGATGCGGCCATGGCGCTTTATCGCAGCCATGGAATGCTCTGCTGCAATTACTGCATCTTAGGCTGTATAAAGAGATGCAGGCACCTCAAATTCATCGAACTGTGACATGACCTCTACAGTTGAATTGGCAAGCACTGAAATCATGTCAAGGGAAGCAGGATCAGCGAGTACACGAACACGGATTGAGCCGCAAGTGATGCAAGATTAGATGTTTTTATTGAGCCAACTTACCAAGGGGATCATATGTTGGCAAGGTGATGTACCGTGGGCAGTGCTTGCTTTTTGATACACTTCCAATCGTCAAAGAAGTAGTAAGACAATCACGAGGCTGGAAACATAAATTGAGATGAGCATTGCCTTGCAATATGCGCCATTTGAAATTTGGAAATAATATAAGTATCCAATTTGGGGGACACAACTGTTCAGAGAAATATTCAAAAGTGAAATTTATGCAACACATATTGACCAGAAACTAGTAGAGAGCAGCTTGCAAGTTCAAACGCCACAAAACAGTAACCAAACAGGGCACTGGACTTCGGTATTGTTATCAAGTTTTGTTTCCATAGGACTCAGAGCGATCGTTCAGCATATATACATAGGACGCAAAATTCTTCAGAAATATTCAAAAAATTTAGCAAATCAAATTTCGGTCCTGTAGGAACAATATTAACAGATATGCTTTGGTGGTAATCTGTCTACACAATAGTCATTGGTTCTACTCATGGCTGTAATATTTTATAGCAACAAATTGTAGGGAGTTGTTCAAGGGGAAAAAATGGGAAACTTACCTTCAATTCTTTGTCGAAGCATAACCTAAGTTCTTGGACTGAACCACTCTTGCAAACAATTTGTGGTGATCCCCCAAAAGCATGTTTGATGGTATCGATGACATCGCTCAGTGCATATTCCTTACCATTTGAAACCTGTATCCCTCCACTTGACAGCATTTCCTGCAACCCAGGCAATCCAAATTTACGATAGAGAAAGGACAAAGTTCCATGTTGGTATTCTTGTTGTAGGCATTACTTTCCAAAACCATGCTGGTAACGTGAAGGTACTTTAGGCTAGCTAAGAAACCAGTGCTATGGTGTGGGTATTGGGTAATCTGTCAAAGACCCAGGTACTAACCGTAACGTTATACTTGAAGTAGAGGTCAAGGGCAATGGTGAAATACTGTAGTTCATCCTGAACCACAGGGGCAGAGCAAGTTCCATGCTTCTCTGAAAAATGAAACTTGATGTTAAGGTTATGCGGTCATGCAATTCTCATAAACGTCTGCGCAATCAAAGCTGAGCATAATGCCAGACTCTACTTTGCAAGCAAAAGTGTGTCATAGTTCATAAGGGAAAGAACATTACCCCACTGAAGATGAGCAACAGGCGAATCGAGCAGAAAACGTCATCCCGTAGGACAATATGCAAAGGAAACAGCAAAGAGGTTGAAACTGAGGCATACTTTCGGAGTTCAATATTATAGCATAATGGACGAATCTAGTTCTGAATTCGGGTGTTGCTACTGCACCTCGTGAGCCCAGAAGAGTCCCTTGCCGCTGAAGCAAGTTCCAGATTTGGAGCAGTAGAGGGACGGCCAGTACTTGTCAAGCACCTCCTTCAGTGGCAATATCTACACCACCAGATGATGGCACCAAACCATCGATCAGCACGGTTGTTGAGAACTCATCCACAGAATCAAACGCGACAAGAGGACCAGACGGAAGCACAAACAACGCCCTGTGAGGCTGTGGCTAAGCAGTCACCTTGTCCATGTCGAATTGGGTGCGGCGGCAGCACGACGGCCAGGTCCCGTCGTCGTAGTCCGGCCATAGCCCGTCTACTCGAGCGGCAACAGTCGCGAAATTGAGACCAAACCGATCACGAATTCACCTGACGGGACTATATATAAAAAAGAAATCGAACGAGAACGGATCGAGCACTTACGGATCGTGAACGTCTGGAGCGGCTCCGAGCTACAGGTGGGGCAGGAGAAAGAAAAAGAACGGCGTGAGGTCTCGCATCAATCAACCCAAACGAAATTGGATAGCAGGAAACTGATCTATGGTGCGAGCAGCGAGCTCTTGGCGTCTGGACGAGAGGATAAGATGGGGGAGGGGAGCCACTGGTCGTGGCAGGGGCGGCGGCTCGGCGCGGCGCACGTACCGGCAGCAGCCGTTGGTGGCGCAGCAGTGGCGGGTGGAGGCGCAGATGGTGCCGGGCCACTGCAGGGAGAGCGCGAAGTAGTCGAACTCCCGCTGCGGCTTGCTGCCCAGGGGCGCGCGGGCGGAGCCCAGGTCGGCCAGACCCGCGGCGACGAGCACCCACGCCGCCAGCACGCACGCCGCCGTCCTCGCCGTCGTCATCGCCTCCCTCTCCTCCTCTGCCTCCGGCAGCTCAGCTCAGTACAACAACTCTGCGGGGCGACGAGGCCAAAAGCCAGATGGGGGCTGTATCAATGGTGGTGGGGGCACGGAAACGGCCGTGTCCCTGCAAGTGGGGCCTGCGTCGCCGTATCGGGGACCACCTCCGTCCCCCCCCTAATTAGCTGCTGAGACCAGAAGAAAATGGTTTGGTTGCGTAGCGCGATTATCTTGATGGAATGGAATTGCAGGGTATAGAATTGAAGAAGATTATTATCAGCATGTTCGTTTGGCTGTGGCTTGTTGTAAATGATCGTAAATTTTTAGTCAGAATAATATTTTTTCTCACATAAACCAGCCAGCAATACTTCTTCACGAACCAGCAACGAAACGAACCAGCCAACCGAACGGGCTGATATAGTGCGGAATATCCTTGGCCTTGGCCAAGCCCTCGCACGCACATGGGTTTGATACGGAATATCCTTGGCCATTGACACCGGCCGATAGCCGGTTGCGATGCGACGAAGCAACCAGCCAACCACCCGCAAACCAGGTGCGTGTAGCGATCAGGTCTACGATAAGATCAGAACTTCAAAGTGACACGCAAATCATACAGGAACAACGCAAGCAGCCTCACCACCTCTCGTGGAGAAAACGTCTGGGACACTCAGAGGACACTTCAGAATTCAGATAATTGTGTAGCCATTCACATTCACAGTGCGTTCCCAAATCCCAGTGGCCAATCATTTGAGACTGTGAATGAAAGAATTGTACAGGACCATACAGGGCCGGTAATTCTGCAAGCACGCCGTGGCGGTGGCGTCACGCTCTATTGACTATTACTCATTTCAGAACCTGGAGTCCTGGACGCTGCTCAGAGTAGCTCGCCATTGGCTTGGACGCTTGGTTACTGATCCCCTCCGTGGCATTGGCCATCACTGCAATCGCAATCACAGTGTCCGATCAGAGTAGTGCAGCCATGACAAATCTGGACCGGAATTCTCTTCCCGTCTGCATCCTGCACTGATTCCACAGAACGACAGTAGTAGAAGATAGAAGGGCCCACTCACCAGAGGGTTTATACGACGGGAACGTGACGTAGAGAGGGCAGTAGCTTCTGCTGTTCGGTGCAGTGCCAGTCTCAAGCGTGCAGTCACGAGGCTGCCAAGAGATGCAAGTCAACCATGTTACAGGGCTCGGAGCAATCATGTCTCTATCTCGACAATTATGTCTAGTCTAGGTTTCTCTTATTTGTAATGGTCCTTTCTTAGCTATTCCAGAAATTAGAGCCTACTCAACTCCTAATAAAAGCTGAGCACTTATTATACTCATCATATATAGCAGCATGAGTTTTGTTTTTAGACGAACCTGTGGCATAAGTTTAGTTTCCTGCTCCAACTGATTTGGCTGATTCAAAGATTCAGAAACTGACATGACTTATAGAAACTACCTACCTGATAATCCTTGTGGAAGCAGAGCCTGAGTTCTTGAACTAATCCGTTCTTACAGACAAGTGATGGCATTGCCCCGAATGCATATTCAATGACAGCAACAATATGGCCAACGGCGTATTTTCTGCCGCTTGTAGTCCGGATACGTGCTTTCCTCAGGGCTTTCTGTAAGACAAGAGCAGGAGCTAGAGTAACGTGCCGACAAAATTCTAGTCTCTCGTGACTTGTGCAATAAGTATATCGTGCTCAGAGATCAGAGATGTAGTGATGACTGACCGTAACATTGTATTTGCTGTAGAGATACAATGCTGTAGAGAAGTAGTCATATTCATCCTGTATTTCAGGGTAAGCACAAGTCCCGTGAGTTTCTGCCAAAGGAGAGAAAATGGGGTATCATTAAAATTAGAGGCAGATCTGCAAGGAAACTACATCCTCTGCTACACAGCAAAACATAACCAGATTTCTTAACACAATTAAGAGGTAACAGAACATAACATTATTTGTGCCAACAAGTTCAGAAACTGCATACCCCACTGAAGAAGATCCGGTAAACCATCAGCACATGCACACAAAGCAAAAGAAACCATGGGGTCAGCACTTAGCAATTAGCATAAGCGTTGTTCCCTGTAACCAAATCTAAAAAATCCTCACTAACCTCATGCACCCAAAATGGCCCCCTTCCACCAAAGCATGTTGAAGAAGAACCGCAGTACAAGGACGGCCAGTACTTCTCGAGTATTGGCATCAACATTAATATCTGAGACATGGCAAAATCAATCACACTGACATCACATACTTGCAGTGGTTCAGACATCTCATTCTGAAGAAAGTTTGCGAAGCTGGAACCTTATTTATGTTGAATTTGGTTGGTCTGCAGCATGATGGCCAGCCCCCATAGTTGTACTGTGGCCAGAGACCATCTGTTCAGACAGAACAAAGATCATGAAATGGCTATCAGCAGTACTTGGATGCAACTGTCTTAGCCTATCAATTACTTTGGGGCCGAAGTGCAACTGCGCAATGCATAAACATGGCATCGTTTACAGTTGCAATGGAACACCAATGCATTTCATTTCAGAGTCAAGAAGTTCAACAGCAGTTTATGTATGATGGCAACCAAATCAGCTGGTTGAAACAACAAATCAGGCAGGTAAAGTATTTGGAGGCTGCTCACTGTTCCTGCTCAGAAATTCATATTTTCTACCATTTCCAAGTCAACAACAACAGATCAATAATTGGTGTGTGAATTTATTTAGTCATGTTTTAAGGCGCCAATTTCATTATAAGAGATACTTTTGTACTCCTGACTCCTTACCAATATGAATTTAAAAGCTTGGAAAATCATGTGCTATTCATGTATCCAGTAGCTGTATTTTCTTCAGCATTAAAAAAAAAATCAAACTCATAGGTCATAAACAATGCATCCAGTGCAGTATCAATGTATCATAGACAATGCATCCAGTTCAGCATCCAAATGGGAAAAAAATGCAAGTGATTTGCGTGGGCTTACGAATCGTGAACCATTTGAGAGGCTTCGATCTGCAGAGAAATTAAACCAAATGAGCTCGCTCAATCGAGTTCCAGCCGTGACAATGCGAAGATAACAGTGGAGGACAAGCGAGACGGTACCGGCAGCAGCCATTGGTGTCGCAGCAGTTGCTGGTCTCGCGGCACATGGTGCCCGGCCACTGCAGCGCCAGTACATAGTAGTCAAACCCAACCCACCGCCGCTTCCTGCTGCCACCTCCCGCGGCCGGCGACGAGGACGACGCCGAGGCGGACGGCGGGAGCAGCGCGCCGGGGAGCAGCACGGCGAGGCAGAGGAGCGCGAGCGGGAGGAGGAAACGCTTCTTCCCGCCGCGCCGGGGCCGCCGCGTTTCCATCACCCCCGCGCCGCCGTTGCTTGGCGAATGCGATCTTTGGCGTGCTCGTGTCTTACTGGATCTATCAGTCTATGTCCTGCTGCTAATCCATCAGCCGCTGCAAGATTGCAAGTTTGCAATTTGAAATGGTGGGGATGGAGTAGCTTGGAGAACATGCCATATATGAGCAGTGAGGTTCGATTACTTTATTAGTAGCAATCTAAAGAAGATCACCCCTCCATGGGAAGATCAGGTTTTGCTTGCGGATGGATGGATGGCTTGTTGCCTTGTTGTGCTCGTGAAGCATAACCAAGCTACGACAGCTACAAATGATGATTGGACCTGCATTTGCATCATCTTTTGGGTTGCCCTTCCCTCTCTCTCCTCCTCCCATGGAGGATGCAAATGTTGGAATTGCATATTTGCCAGCCAAGTTATAGCGACATAGTGGACCGTGGCTGGAAGCCACAGACATTTAACTGAATTTCCATTTTATCTATATGGGAACAAACTGATCTCTCTAACCTAAAAGAATGTAATTTTTGTTTTTTATGAATAGATCAATCTTAAATTTAAATAAATATATAAAATATATTAATATTTATGATACGAAATAAATGTCATTAGATTAATCACAAAACATATTTTTATATAAAAAATCAGTTTATAGAGGTATTAATGTTGACACTATTTTCTATAAACATTGTCAAGCTTAATAAAGTTGGCTATGCTTTTAATCAGTCCAAATATAGAATTATATTTAATAAATACTATTAAAAAGTAGTTTTAGAAATAATAAAAGAATTAAATAAAAGACATGTCCAGGGAAAAAATAAGGGGGAATTTCTTGTGTGCCATTAAAAAAGATCGTAATGCCCTGTGTGCCTCTGGAAAAGTTCAGCGGTCTTCAGTGCCACTGCTCCAACTTTTTTGTGCCCTTCATGCCACTGCCGTCAGTTTGGGTTCTAACGCCGTCAAACTGCAGGTGTGAAAAGTAAAAAATACCCTTATGTCTAAATATGTCATTAATTTTTTTTAGCATCTTAACGACTTTAAATGAAAAAACTCAAAACTAGAAAGTTGTAGATCTCGTCGAGATCTATAATTTTTATATAAAAATTATCTTCATTTAATTCCTCAAAAAAATATGATTTGATATGATTAATATATCTTAGAAAAAATTATATCTTTTTTTGTGGAATTAAATGAAAATAAATTTTATATAAAAATAGATATAAAAGTGTAGCTACAGTATTTACGGCGGCGCCAATTCGGGTGAAGTAAGGCCTTGTTTAGATTGCAAGTTTTTTCACTCTCTCCATCACATCAAATCTTTGGACACATGCATGGAGTATTAAATGTAGATAAAAAAATAACTAATTACAAAGTTTGATTGTAAATTACGAGATGAATCTTTTGAGCCTAGTTAGGCCATAATTAGACAATAATTGTTAAATACAAATAAAAATGCTACAGTACACACTACTGATTCCTAAACCCCAATCTAAACGAGACCTAAACATGGCCAAGGATCGGATGGAGCAGATTGATCAGTTGCCATTACTCCGTAGTACATTACGTTGTTTAATTAATTTGTTTAGTTGTGTGATCATCCATCAATATACTAATTCATTTCATGTTTCATCAGAACAACAAGGAGTGCTTCTCGGACGATGTGCTGCCGGGCGGCTTCAGCGTCGGCAAGGGAGACGTCGTGTTCTACGTCCCGTACGCCATGGGGCGAATGGAGTACCTGTGGGGCAGCGACGCCGAGGTCTTCCGGCCCGAGCGCTGGCTCGACGAGTTTCAGCAGGAAAGCCCCTTCAAGTTCACAGCTTTTCAGGTAGGTGACCCACACGTGCTGCAGTCTATTTATACAGTGACGTGACGACATACTCTGAGCGTTGCCCCTCGTCAAATTACTACAGGCCGGTCCGAGGATATGCCTGGGGAAGGAATTCGCTTACAGGCACATGAAGGTGCTGGCGGCCGTGCTGCTCCGCTTCTTCGTGTTCAGCCTGCGGGACGAGGAGGCCAGCGTCAACTAGAGGGCCACCATCACGCTCCTCATTGAACACGGCCTCCATCTGATGGCAACGCCGGGACGAGTGACAGTTTATCGGTTTCTTATGTGGAAGTATTAAGGCATCCACAATGTATAGCATCGTCAACGTTTATTTACGAAGTGATGAGACTTCTGCTGTTAATAAACGAAAAAATTGGTTCTATAGCATTGAAAGATTCATATGATCGTGAAATACCATTGAAATTTTTGACAACATAAAATGACAATGAAAGTTCGAACGTTAACTAGATCAAACAGTCTGTTAGAAAATGTTCACAGAAAACGTATTGGATGGGTACAGAAGCACATGAAATGATCGTTATACCCTTAGAGAGAGAACCTTATCTGGTTCACGAATCATGACTGCTATCTCCTCGAGCATGTCCGACTTCTTCAGGACCAGGCGCAGCCGGTCCATCTGCTCTGCGCCGGCGCCACCGCCGGTCAGGCCCCGCCGCTCGCCAGCCCCGCGACTCCGCCCGCCCCCATCGCCGTCTGAGTCGTCGCCCCCGACACCGGCCGGGATGTCGCCCCCCATCGAGGAGGGGGTTGTCGCCCTCGACGCCGGCTGCCCGAGGCTGGGGCTCGCGCCCACAACGCCGACAGCCCGAGGCCGGGGCTCGCGCCCACGACTCCAATTGCCGAGTCCAGGGCTCACATCCGTGACAGCTGCTGGGCAGCGCGCCGCCGGCTGCCTGCTGTGCAGCACGAGCCTACCCCTGACGGCCAGTGCTCAGAGCAGGTTGTTCCACTACGCGTTGCTGTTCTTCTTTATCAACGCAGTAGTGATGTTCTCTTTCTACAGATGCATCGATTTGAGATCCGTGAAGGGTAAGTCTCGAACCCTAGCTCTGCTTGAATGTTCCTCTGTTGCCTCTGTTGATGCATGCGGTGATGTGGTCAGTGCTCTATGTTAAATTAGTTTGTTTCTCTAAAAATGTGATCCGTTTGTGGTGTCTGGATGCGGTTGGTCAGTGTTGATCTTGATCCTGTGGAAATTGCTGCAGACAGTGCTGTTAATTTTCTGCACTGCTACTATTTCAGGATCAATGAGAAGAATGATTGTAAAATTTTCATTGATGTTTGCTCATTCTCTACTATCGAGGATGATCGATCTATGTACTGCAAAGGCCGGCGTTTGGAGTGGTGGGTGGATCCAGAGGAGTACTCCATCATTGAGATGGAGGACGATGTTTCAAAGCATTACAACTGAGCAAGTTATCAAGAACCAAATTTCTGGTATTCATATCAGAATGGTCAAACAATGCGGCTTGCCAGTGATAAGGAGCTTCTGACCTTATTGCGGGCATCAAGACAGGTGAAGTTTATTATGACGGTTGATAGATGCTCAGTGTAGGTGCTCTGAATGTGACTCAAAATGAAAACGATCTGGTCACATATAGCAAGTTGCAGCTAGTTCAGGTGACAGATGAGTTGAATGAGCAACATATTCAAGTCACGGATGGGGTGAATGAGTCCTCGGCTCAAGCTATACAAGAGGTGCCACAATATAATGGTCAAGAATAGGCTGAAGTACCAGAACTTGGACTTACAGCCACTGGTCCTGCTAGAGTAGAAGAGGAAGAAAAGGAGCACTACATGGAGCCTGGTGTTGACCCTGAAGGAGATGAACCAATTGGGGCTGATGAAGAATGGAGGTATTTCAAGAAGGCAAAGGTAACTGAAGGAGATAAGATTGCAAAAGTGCTGCAAGAAAACAAGAAAGTGGATAAGAAAGGGGAGAAAAAAGGGAAGGGACAAGAAGCATTTGATCCTGATGTTGTACCAAGTGATGAAGCCACTATGGCCAATGCTGCCTTTGTTGCACACACCACATATGATCGAGATGACTCTGACATAAAGAAAGGATCGACATTTGTTGACAAGAATGCTTTTGTGCTACTTATGAAGCAATTTGCAATTCAAAAGGGAGTTTGAGACTTTTGTGGTGCATAGTGACAAGTCAAGGTACAGGGCTAAATGCGTAGATCCAGAGTGCGAATGGAAAGTTCATGCAAAGAAACTCCTTGGATGCCCTACTTTCATGGTGAACTAGCTGTTTTCATATAGATTCTTAACCAGTTGTTTTATATAGATTTCAGATTGCTAAGTTCATATAGATACCAAATTTCTAATATGCTATTTTTATAACAATTTTATACAGTTTTCAGTATGATATCTAGCTGTTTTTTATAATTTTATATAGATTTTAATTTTCTAACATGCTATTTTTATAACAAATTCATATAGTTTTCAGTATGATATCTAGCTATTTTTATTACAATTTCATATACATTTTATTTTTCTAACATGCTATTTTTACAACAATTTCATACAGTTTTTAGTATGACATCTAGCTGTTTTTATAACAATTTTATATAATTTTTAGATTGCTAACTTGTTGTTTTCATACTATTTTCAGGTTGTTTCAATATATGAAGGTCATACATGTGCCAGCACAAGCAAAGTGCTAAGTAGAGAGGCAATGAAGGGGTGGATAGCTGATAGAGCAAAAGATTTACTAAGGACCATACCAACAATGGGTCCTAAGAAATTGCAAGAACACCTTGAGGGACAGTTCCCAATCAAAATAGCTTATACCATGGTCTGGAAAGGAAGGCAACATGCACTAGATGAACTTCATGGCACTTGGCAGGAAAGTTTCAGAATGTTGTGGAGCTTCAAAGCGGAGTTAGAAGCTACATGCCCAGGAAGTGTAGTAGAGATTGATTGCAAGAAGACTAAAGGTAGCAAGATTCGTTTCTCTAGGATGTTTGTGGCCATCAAAGCACATGTGGATGGATTTCTTGTAGGATGCAGACCTTACCTTGGAGTTGACTCCACTCACCTCACAGGCAAGTACAATGGACAGCTAGCTGCAGCAACTGCAGTTGATGAACATAATTAGATGTACCCGATGGCTTATGGCATTTTTACAAGGAGACTAAAGCCAATTGGATTTGGTTTATGAAGCAATTGAAGAGGGCAATTGGGATTCCATGTGGACTGACAATCCATTCTGATGCTTGCAAGGGTCTAGAGACAGCAGTCCATAAAGTCTTTGGAGATGCAGCTGAGCACAGAGAGTGTTTTAGACACCTCATGCATAATTATAGAAAAGAAATACCAAGGAGATGTGTGCGAAGTACATGTGGCCTTGTGCTTGGGCATGTACTACTAGGAGGCATGAATGGCTTTGTAACAAAATTTTAGAAACTGTCCATAAGAAATCCCTTACTTGCAAGACAACCACAAGCATGTTTGGTCACGAGCAAAGTTTTCATGGGAGTGCAAGGTGGATTATGTCAATAACAACATATCAGAACGCTTCAATAATTGGATCAAGAATTTCAAAGGTCTGCTGGTGGATAATCTCGTGGACATGATTAGAGGTGAGATCATGGAGAAGATAGCAATGAGGCAGCTTATAAGTCAGAAGCTTGAAGGGCCAATCCTTCCTAGTGTTCTCAGCGAGCTAAAGGAGAAGAGTAGAAACTTGAAATATACAATCAAGGGGAGTGGTGGACTAAAGGTTGAAGTCTCTGAATTGACTAGGGATAACTTTCCTTGGAGGCATGCAGTGGACCTTGAAGGGAAAACATGCTCATGCGGTCAATGGTAGATCTCTGGGAAACCTTGCACCCATGCTATAGCCTTTATAGGTTCACTAAGGAAAGTGAAACTTGATGACTATGTGCATGATTACTACTCGGTTGAGTGTTTCAAGGCTACTTACCAGTTTTTGGCGAACCCGATGGTTGACAAGTCACAGTGCCCTGCAGCTGATCCTGGGTTTGAGATGTGGCCTCCAAAACTAGAAAGGGCCGCTGGTAGGCCAAAAGTGAAAAGAATCAAGAGTATGGGTGAACCAGGAAAAAGGGTCCTTATCAATGCAAAAGATGCTTTCGGTTTGGGCATATTGCGAAGGGCTGCAGGGAGCCTCCTACTGAACTTTGTGATGAATTACCACCTCTAGTTCTTACCAAGTCTAACTCTAGGTAAATTTAAGCTCTTGTCTCTTTGGTCTCACCTTTTCAAATTAACCAATGGCTTCATTACCTTGCTGTTGACTAGGAAGAGGAAAGGAAAGGCTGCTACTTTAGACTCCAATAATAATCCTAAAAAATCAAAGAAGGAAGCAGCAACAAACTCAACTGAACTTAGTGATGAATTACCACCATCAGCTCCTACCAAGTCCAAGTCTAGGTACATTTAAGCTCTCTCACTTTAGTTTCAATACCATGTTCATGAGCGTTTTCATTATTTTTTACTACCTATGCCTTCACTACCTTCCTGTTGTGTAGTAAGAGGAAAGCAAATGATACTACAAAGTCCGCCAATGCTCTAAAAATCCAAGAAGGAATTTGCAACAACCTCTGCTTCCTTAGCCACACTATCACCTGTAAGTCTAGGGCCAACAAGACAAATGATGACTACTATTTCCACACTAGCCAGTCCAGGGCCTACAACGAGCAGTAAATCACAAGACATATCTCCAGGAGGCATTGCTAGAAGGCTCATCATAAATTAGGCTTGGTTTTTTCATGCAAAAAGCTATCTATGGCATTGTTTTCTGCTAGTTAGATGAAAATTAGAACTTGTGCTATGTCCTAAACTTGTCTTGTGTTGTGTGTACTAAAACTTGTCATCTGTTATGTGTACTGGAAGATGGTTGTGGTGTGCTAGAATTGCTGTTTGTTTGTGTTCAAATTCCCTATCAAGACTGTTGCTGAAAGGGATGATGTAATGGCTTGTTATCTTGGATGGTTAATGTGCTGAAATTACCGTTTTTTCTTGCCTGGAATCACTGTTATGTGCTGAAATTACCGTGCTTTGCATATGTTGCTGAAATGGCTATTTCACTTGGACGGTTTATGTGCTCAAACAGCGTGCTAGAATTAGGTAGAGCCATAACTTATGTGGTGATATAGGTGAAACAGTCGTTCTCAGCTTACTGAAATGAGATATAACGGTTCAGGGGTACTTTTGTCCTATTTGACGTCGTTAGAGCTAAAAGGTAACAGAGTGTTAGAATTAGTTAGGGTTTGGAACTTTCAATGGTATTTTACGTTGGAGACATATTTCAATGGTATTTTATGATTCTGTGGATCTTTTAGTGCTATAGAACCAATTTTCCCTTAATAAATTGGTCCCAATGCCTAGATGATTGACAATTTTTTATATCGCATAATTTTAGAATGAGGTGTTTGATTTGTGGAACGAAATAGTCTGTTACCATCTCACTTTTTAGTTTTTTTATTTAGTTTGTGAAATAAAATAAATTCATCTATCACCATTTTGGTCCTCACGTATAATCCTTCATCGCCTCTGCTCATCCCTTCTCCAATCGTTAGCACCATGACAACAAGAAAATAAAAAACACAAATCCAAATACTCCGTATATCTTGTACTTTCTGTTTAGAAATAAATCTAAAAAAAACTTGATTCGCGGGTATGACAGCTCCGGGCATTATGCTTAAAGGCCTGTTTGTTTCTCATGACTAAAATTTAGCTACTAAAACCAATGACTAAACTTTAGTCACCCCTATTTGGTTACAGTGACTAAAGACTATTAAAGCAGTTCAACAAAAGACAAAGCTACCCCTAATGAATGCCCAAATCAATATGGGAGACCAGCAATAATGAGGGGCAACCCTTGTCCACTGGGCATTTTAGCCGACTAATATGACTAAACTACTTTAGTACCTTTTTAGTCAGTTTGTTTGACACTTTAGTAGCTAAAAGTGACTAAAGTTTAAACTTTAGCAGGAGGACTAAACAAGCCCTAAAAAGAAAGACTTTTTCACGTAGATCAAGAAAACTCTAACCCTAAATCTGTCCATATACAGCGGTAGCATAGCTACCTAAGATTGACCTTAACATGTGCTTTGACGTGGAGGAAGCGAAAGGATTTTTTTTGCGCCTCCACCCAGCGAAACGCGCCCCGTGCGGTTCGGACCCGAGTTGCAAGGGTGCGACGCGGTCTAGCTAGCCGTGTAGCGTCCGCTAAATAATTACAATTCAACAAAAAGCGTCGATCGATAGCTTGTGGCCCCGAAAGGTGGTGCAAATAATCCCAGCGAGACACTAATCGAGGTCTGCAGCCACGTCACGTGACCCCTGGATTTTGAGAAGGTTGGCGATCATCAAATTGATTTGGGACAGGTGATTGGATCTTACCGTGTCGAGTTGAGAGCAGCGCTTGGCGTTGGCGGTGGAAGCGGACGCGAGCGCTACTGCGCGACTTTGCGGGCTGCTCCCGAGGCAAGTGAGGCCCATTCATCAGGCCCTTGAACGGTTAAACCCTCGAGAGAAAGGAAAGAAGGGACGGGGGGAAGCACGAAGCAGGTGACCGGCGCCGCCCTTTGCTCGACCCCCTCGGCTCTCCCGCACCTCTCTAACCACCGGCGCCGGCCATCGTTCCAGCTTGACATGGCTGCGACGGCACCGGCCTTCACAGGCAACCTGAAGGTGAGTTCTTGAAAGATCCCCATCCGCCATCGTCCGGTTCGGGTCACTTTGCCGGTTCCGGCGCGCTGCGGGCGCGGCATCAACACCACCCATGGCCACCACCCCCATCCCCAAGCGCTGTCGCAGGTCCCTGCGCGGGCGCAGGATGGGGTTAGGGGCGGGCATGGATGATTTGCCGCCGAGCTGTGCTGATTCGGGGCCCCGGCGTCTGTGGCATTCAGCCCTCCATTTTGCGCTTAGTAGTAGATTCAGTTCTCTGCGGTCAATAGCTCAAACACTCCTGTACATAGATCTTGGGTTAACGTGACTGCGAATGTTATGATTTTATTGGGCATCCTTTTAGTGGATTGAATTGATTGTAGCTTGAACCTTTGATCCTGATTATCTACCATTTTATCCCCCCTGGTTGTGGTGTTCTATGTTTGTGTGAATAAACTATTGGCATTTTCTCTCTCCTGAGAGATGAAATGGGACATAGTAGATTTATGCGTATATTATTTCAACATATTTAGTAATGTGCTGACCAGTATATGCAGAATTCAATTACCTTTTCTATTTATTTTGTCAACGAAGTGAGCAAAAAACAACGGTGTGTTATGTGTGGCCATGTTGCATGAGCGAAGAAGCATGCATTTCTGTTTTGCTTGAAAAGAAAATAGTTCTGCAACTAAAATCTCAAGTAACCAAAATGTTATTTCTGAATCTGCAGTTCTGCACCATGTTGATATCAAGTACTTACTGATGGTTGTTTTTCTTGATATTTGCAGAAAGCACTTGCAGGTCTGAGAAGAATCAATTTAGATGGGTTGCGATGGCGTGTATTTGATGCTAAGGGTCAGGTTAGGATTATTTTTTCTAGTTTGAGTTGGAAGGGTCAATTTACCGTAAAAAAGGATATGTTGTGAGGTAAATTGTCTATGTGAAAGGTGCTTGGACGGTTGGCTTCCCAAATAGCTGTTGTGCTTCAAGGCAAGGATAAACCAACCTATGCACCACATGTGGAAAATGGAGACATGTGCATTGTACTTAATGCAAAGGATATCAGTGTTACAGGAAGGAAAATGACAGATAAGATTTACTACTGGCATACAGGGTTAGTAAATCACAGCCAAAAAGTTGTTGGTTACATTATTTTTGAGATTTTTGTTAACTTTCTCTTGTTATGTGTTTATCCCCAAATAGGTATGTTGGCCATTTGAAGGAAAGGAGGCTCAAGGACCAGATGAAGAAAGATCCAACTGAAGTGATTCGCAAAGCTGTGCTGCGCATGCTTCCCCTGCAACAGACTGCGTGATGTAAGTGAAACTTCATTTCTCTTTCATTCTGCATGCAAGGCTTAGACATGAGCTCTTTTGTTTGAGGTTGAATAACTAGATTTTAATGCTAGCTTTATTTGCTGTTTCTAACATTGTAATGAATACTGCATATATCCTCTTTTTCATACTTTTATGTATTACTAGGATCATGCCCGTGCGCACGATGGGAACAAAATAATATCATGATAATTTAAAAAAAACATAAGTCTCTAATACATGTGTATGGCTGAAGTTCTTACGTTCACAATTTCAGCTGGTTTTGGAGCCCTGTATGTCTTTCTTATTCTCTAAAACCAATGAAGCTCCAGCTAGTCTCTGTAAAAATCAATATCATAAGGATGAACATTTGGAACACTTTCTGAATAGGTAAAATTTTAGCCTACTGTAGCAAAGAGACATTATTCTTTACTGCCAAACCATAGTAGTTCTTCCTTCCTGGTTTGACCCTCAATGTTTGAAATGCTATTTCAGTACAATTTCTATGCATAAAGCCGTAGAGTTTGATGCCATCAAGAGAAAAATATCCATTTTCCATTTCATTAACCAAGACACCTCTATCATTAAGTAAACGGGCTACGATAATCCAGTAGCATTATTCAGTTATATCTATTATAGGACCTCTATCATTTCGAACTGAATATATCAAACAGTAAATATCAGTCGTCTTCCTGGCTTGAAGGACCAAAATGTTTTTTATATAACAATTTTATAGAACTACAACGAAATATCCAGTTCATCACCATCGCTTAGAGGTCTGGTAATAGCATACATCTTCTTTGAAGAGATTGTAGAGTTCGGCACAGTAATCATCAAGCCTCCTAATGTCTGAACTATCATCATCAAGCGTCCTTATGCCTGAACTATCAACAATTGCCAGAATCTCATACAGGTCACATAGAGTGTCGAACTTCCAATCTTCCTTCTCCACTTTGACATAGAACTGATTGATACCCTCAAGGGTGAGCTCATCTCTCTTGACGAGAATCCTAACAGGCTTGTTCATGAACTTGTGGGTGATCTCAAGGGCCTCAGGGGGCATGGTAGCTGAGAACACACCGACCTGAATCTTCGATGGAAGATATCATAGATCTGCAAAGGGCACATGCAAGTTGAAGCCAAACAGCTTATAAGCTATCAAAAGATATCTGCAAAGGGCACATGTCAGTTGAAGCCAAGCAGCTTACATGTCAGTTAAGGCAAGCAGCTTATAAGCTGGTTCAGGAACATTAGATGACCATAACAAGTTCAAATTAAAAGCTTATATGCAGGAACATTTGAGATGACCATATCAGCAATCCTAAATCACGAAATAAATTAGTTGTGATTAGTTTCTTTCCCCGTCCGAAATATGCATCCCAATACTACATTTGACCTATGAATATCACAATCCTAAATCAATGCGAGGAATATGGATCGAACCGGGTTGTGATCTGCAGTTTCTTTCTACCTTCCAAAACTTTGGCTAACTTAAATCTGGGACACTTATTGGAACAGGTCTGATCCAGCCTTGGAGTACCAAGGGAGTCTAAGCTGCAAAAAATGTGGATTCCCAATCTTAGATAGGGGGAAACATTTGTTGGGGGGGTGGGGGGCGCTTTTGTTTTCTTTTACTACAGAAGTACCAGTTTGTGCATGTGTCCTGGTGTTAGTTTCTTCAGGAAACGGACATTGAACTTAACAGTGCAAATTTCATTATTGCTCACTGAGCCATGAAATTCCAACCTACTCTGTATAAGCTTAGTTATCTTTACTTTGTTGCTCCTTTTTTCATTAATCAATTGCTGCTAGAGAGGTTTAATTTGCCTGTACTCTGCTGCTAATGGATTATTACCTTTCTCCATTGCATTGCTGAACCCACAATCTGCTTAATGACCTGTCGAATTTTGTTAATGCCGTGTTGTGAACACTGGTTAACAAAATATTTGGAGATTTTAAGCTAGAACTATATATATCGATGTACAACTTTTGTAGTATTTCATTATCTGATGATCATATTTTCCTTGGTACTGTTACACGCAATTGAGATGTTATATTAATTTGCAATATTGTGTTTGTGTACTGATGGCCTGTATATTTCATAACATTGTATTGACCGTGGTTTCATAACATCGTATTGGTTGAGGAATCATGCCTTTTTTCTTGTCACGTTAAATATGCTTGGTGTTTGACATATACTGCTCTGGTCCTCCAGGATAGGGATCGCAAGCTGAGGATATTTTCTGGGAACGAGCATCCATTCCATGATCGCCCTCTTGAACCTTTTGTGATGCCGCCACGGCAAGTACGCGAGATGCGCCCCCGAGCAAGGCGTGCAATGATAAGGGCCCAGAAGAAAGAGCAGGCAAACAGAGCCAAGGAGGAAGAAGATGCTAAGAATGCCACAGCTGAGATCACTGCGTAGGCCCCTGATGTGTTGCATGCTGCAAATTTGCTAGATGCTGTTTTAGGTTTATCTTTTTTTGCTTGATAGCCTTTCGAGTGGAATAGGCACTAGAAGCTGGGAACGTGCCAACCTCGTTTTGAATCACCGTTGTATTTCTATTACAATTTGTAACGGGAAACCCTGCCTGTCACAGCTGCTTTCTGTAAGTGAATAAGGCCCTCTGAATTGTTGAACTCCGGATCTCAAGAGTGCACATAAGTCCAGAAACGAAGGGAAATGTCCACAGAAAATTTACCACGATGTAAGTTTGTTAATTTACACTGACATTAATATCTGGAATGAAGCAGATGAGTCATCAGATTGGTTGTTATACTTCCTGAAAGTCGGAACTGAAAAAACTTGTCCTTGTATTCCGATTTCCTTCAAAATTAGGCAGAAACAATCTTTCGGCCTAATAAAAAGCTATAGTGGCCCAACAAAAAAAATAGTTAGGCCCAGCCCAGAAGGCCTTCACGACTGCTCCGCCTCCACTCCGGGTCCACGAGGCACGCAGCACAACAATTAGAACACACCTCGCCGCCGCCGCCGAGGACGACGGCGATGATGTGGCGTTCGCGAGCTCGAGCCCTGCTCCTACTCCGCTCGACCATTCCCCGGTCACTGCCGCCTCCTCCACCACCATATGCCACTCGAACCCTAACCCAACTCCCACCTCCCCGCCCTCTCTCCCGCTTCCTCTCCTCCTCCCCAGATCCCATCCCCGATGCCTCTTCCTCCGCCGCCGCGGATCCCTTCCCTGAAGTCTTCTCTTCTCCGACCGAGGCTTCCCAAGATGCCACTGAGGCCGGGGAGGACAACCTGAGCTCGATGTGGGAGGAAGCTGGGGACGCCGACGATATCTTTGCCTCCCCCGGCAGCGCCGACGCCGTAGCCGACGATGAGGAGGTCGCCCGCGTGTGCGCAGCCGTCGAGTCCACTCCCGAGGACAAGATCGCGTCCACCCTCGCCGACATGATCGTGGACTTCAACGAGCCGCTCCTCGCCGCAGTCCTCCTTGCTGCCGAGCAATGCTCCTGTAAGAAGCTGATTTCCCTGTTCAACTATGCCGCGAAGAATAACCCCGCTGCCAAGAGCCTCTCGAATCTTGAGATTCTCGTGAGCAAGGTAGTTGATTCTGATGAGATAGACAAGACAGACGCTTATTTGCTTTGGGATTCGATTAAGGAAATTGGCTCTGTGCCAGGATCAGTGAGTACACCATTGTTGAATGAAATGATCGCTATATTTTGGAAGCTTGAGAAGTCGAAGGCAGCACTGGAGGTGTTTTTGAAGTTCGATGAGTTTGGTTGTACTCCGGACAGTGACAGCTATTATCTTGTTATTGAAGCGGCACAAAAGAAGTCCATGTTCCGCTCTGCTTGTGAAGTTTGTGAGAAGATGATTGGCTCTGCCTGCTTCCCTAATGGTGAGAAGGTTGGCAGGATTTTGACTTACCTTTGTGAGGGGAAGAAGGTGAAGACGGCACACTCATTATACCTTGCAGTGAAAGAAAAAAAGATTCAGATCCCAAAGTCAGCCCTGGATTTCCTTGTTGGTGCTTCGGCAAGGAATGATGAGACCATTGGTACTGCTCTGGAGCTGCTGGAAGAGTACCAAGGGGAGTCGCTTAAGCATGCAGGCAAGTCCTTTGCCACGGTTGTACATGCTTTGTGTAGGGTAAACAAAATGGAGGATGCAAATAATTTGTTGACGAGGATGGTGCAGCTTGAAGAGTACCAAGGGGAATCTCTTAAGAATGTAGGCAAGACATTTGCCACAGTTATACATGGTTTGTGTAGGAAAAAGAAATTGGAGGATGCAAAAACATTGTTGATGAGGATGGTAAATGTTGGCCCAGCTCCAGGTAATGCAGTGTTTAATTTTGTCATCACAGCATTGTCAAAACAGGGAGAAATGGAGGATGCAAAAGGTTTGATGAGAGTGATGGAGAGCCAAGGGATCAGTCCTGATATCTATACTTACAGTGTGCTCATGAGTGGCTACATAAAAGGAGGCATGATCAGTGAAGCCCATGATCTACTTCGTGAAGCTAACAAAGTTCATCCGAAGCTAAACAGGGTTGCTCATCATATACTTATCCGTGGATACTGCAAGATGGAGGACTTTGAGAAGGCCATTGAGTGCCTAAAGGAGATGAGGAAAGATGGGTTGCTGCCAAATGTGGATGAGTATGACAAACTTATTCAGTCATTGTGTCTCAAGGCTATGGACTGGAGAAGAGCTGAGAAACTCCTGGAGGAAATGGAGGATAGTGGTTTATGCCTAAGGGGTATAAGTCGCAGCCTCATAGCTGCAGTCAAGGAGTTGGAAGGAGAGGAAATGCAGTCAAAGGCGAGCCAAGAAGCATAGTTTCTCTAGGACAATTGAATCCATATGTCTGCTAATTAATTTTTGGGTAGCGCCTTTCTTTTTGAGCTTTTCATCTCTGGTGAGCTTGCAAGAAACATCATCTCTGTACGGCTGTACCTGTGTTTGTTTATTGTTATTTACTACAATAATTTTGCATTTATATTTAAATGCTAGACTAACAAAGAAGAATATTTAGTTTTGGTCTGGGGCTTCTGTTTATTTACAATATGAGGTTTTCCATATGTCATTATACATGTCGAGAATTTATTTTCATGTCTTGCTTAAGAACACGAAATATTTTGGCTGCCAATGGAATTCAAGTTAGGGAAATATTCTTTCACATGTTTGGTGATTTAGGATGATGTTCAGTAAGTACTTGTCACCTTTATGTTATTTCTTAGGGCTTTTGAGTTGCAATCAACATTTTCAATATAATTTGATGGCTTTTACAAAAGAACTGATTGCATGACTGGAACTTTCTTTTCATCGATGACTTCTTTTAGACAATTCAGTTAAACATTTGTTGCACTTCTAGTTCTATTTGTATATCTTGAACATAGAGGTCTACATGTGCATCATGAAAATAATTGGTTCCCACCAGTTCTGTTTTCTATCGTGTTGGCTCTGTGTCCTATCTATTACTTTTATTTTTATCAGGGAGTCATGCAAGGTTCTTACTAGTTACTACTGCCAGTGGCTGATGGTAACTGAAATCTGAAACTGATCCGATCCTCTTATAATCAGGCTCTTTAACCCCACTTAGGATCAAATGTTTTGTACTATAGGATAAGTCTGTTTATTAAAACCAGGCAAGTTTTGCTGTTTAAGCTGAATTATAGTTATTGGTTTCAAATATTCGTAATGAGCTCTGTGCCAAGACTAGACCATATAGACATAGTGATTAACATATACTCCCTCCATCCCAAATTATAGGTCGATTTGGCTTATATCTAGGTGCGCAGATATAAGCCAAAACAACCTATAATTTGGAATGGAAAAGTAGAACTAGTAGTTGCTTGTTCTTGGTCCTTGATTTCACCTGTTTTAATATTTTAATTGTGCATTGTGTTAGGTGATTTATCTACTAGTGGCATTGTCTGTTGATTCACTAATTCAGTACCTTATATGTTAAAGAAAAAGGTCACAGTATGATGCTATCAATTTTCAGAAGTTTAGATGCTTCATGTATAAGCTATACCTGTAGTTAAGCATAACTGTTTTTCTCACATTGTTTGATTCCTCTCCGAGTCACTGTATTTGTGTTTTTATATACTTTTGCTTTTCATGTCTTAACTAATTCGTTCCAGATTACTGATTGGCCTCTTACTCTTACCTGCACCACTGCATGGCCTACTGTTATATTCTAGTCATCTTTCAGTACACTTTTTTTTTGGTTTGCTGCACACTGTGATAGCAACTAGGAAGCCAATAAGATTGGGGCAAGCGGTCACGGTTTATTTGTGCATGGTCAATTTTCCACCAGCACATAGAGCACTGGAAAAAGTATCAGGACAGAGCCTCAATTTATCTCCCTTTTTGGTATTCACAATCTGAACTAAATTTTTTCATGAGATCTGTCACCATCAAGTCGAATAATTGTGAAAGTGCTTTCATTTACAGAGTAAATTTGTACCATTGTAACTGTGGCACCAGTTCTTTTTGTTTCCTGTCGTTGATGTTAATTAAAATTTTTAGCATATCACCATTTAACTCTGTGATCCACGTTGAGGATTTTGAAATCACTTGTCGCAATTGAAATTTGGCCGGCAAACATATCATGCCTAATACAAATTTTATCTGTTTTTCTTTTCAATGATTCAATCCTTGTCAGTTGTCACTACCATATAAAATCACAAACTGTTGAATTCATAATTGAGCACTGACTCAGCTGTTCTTGATCTTTCTTAGAAAAGGGGGGAAAAAAACTACTACTGATGTTCTTCTGTCCACTGATATCGCAAAGCGGTCCCCCACTGGTACGGTGGAAGCAAAGCACAATTCACAGAAAAGATGTGATAATGCATTCAGTTCGCATTGCACCAAAAGCACATGCTGATGATCAAAACCCGATCCTTGTAGTTGTACATGCAAGCGACATCTATCTTCTGTTTGTTATTTGGTGCCACTAACCAAAGGATCCTCAGGAGATTTGCTCCAGTTTCTTTTGTCGCTGTTGTGCCGTCCTTCCACTGTTTTCTATGGGTTTGACATCATATGGGACAAATCATATGTTCATTTTCTACTCGAACTTTGAAGTAGTGCCCGTTTGTTCTTGACTTCAGAATAAGTAAAGTAGCTGTAAATAGAAAACAACAATAATAGGTGAATTATCGTCAGGCACAGCCGCACAGACCATTCATTATATCAGCATTCTGTTTCAACTTTCAAATTTGAACTTCAGTAAATCCCTATGTTTGAAGAAATGCACGTTTCAGAAACCGAAACCAAATCTCTGGCTACCTGCATGACAAGTAGGGCCAATCCCCTCTGGAAGAAGTAATCGGGACGAACTGCCACACCACAGTGGACACAGCGCTCTCGGATCTGCCTCGCCGGCTCGCCCCATGGTCTCGTCTCGTCTCGCTCGCGTGACACCACCCCATTGGCCGACAGGGACACACGCCGGCGTGGCTGCTCACGTGTTCTCACCCTGCGCTCTCGCCGGCCGGGGCAACTGGCGATGGCGAGCGAGTGTCTCTGCCGCTTCCTCTCGGAGTAGACGTCAGGCGCCATTTATTAATTCAACTCTCCCCAGCCCCTCAAGCCCACGCTTCCGAATTCACCAACTCCTCCACGCCGCGTCGAGATCGCTCACGCCTTCGCTCCCAGCGACTCCACCACTCAGCCCACCCGCCGGAGCAATGGGGAGCACGGGGCGCGAGCCGGAGGTGACCCGCGCCGACTTCCCCGACGGCTTCGTCTTCGGCGTCGCCACCTCCGCCTACCAGGTACCACCCGACCGCCGCCGTCCCCATCTCATCCCGCGCGGCCGACTTCGCTTGGCGTCCGTCCCGCCGCGTGCTTGCGCCTTGCCTACGACTGAAGACTGCGCGCCAGCTAGTGCACGCGCTGGCCTGCTCGGGCCTCGGGGGCTCTAGTTCTGAGATTTGAATTGGTGTGTGAAGTTTGGTTTGTTTTTGACTGTTGTCTGACGCCTGGAGCTTGTTCCGCTTGATGAGTTTTAGCTAGTTTGGAATGGAGATTCAGATGGATGTGTGGAGTTGATTCAGCTTGAAACAGTCTGGACAGGTGCCACGGACTAGCATTCCGTGTATAGGGCACCAGGACTTCTCCGTCAAATTAGTCTCTCCTATATTTAAATTAGCGTCTCTGCTTCGGGTTAATTTCAAGTGCAACTTCTGATGAAGTTTTGCTGTGTCTCTGGATGGGAGAGTACCAAAGATAGATGGAGTGGAAGTTGAAACAGTGGACCCAACAAAGGATTCCCCATCCATTCATTGCACTAACTAATTATGAAAGTAGTTTATTCATGCCAGTACTGCCTTGTGCTGTCCATAAAATAAGTAACAACTCTTGTTGCTCTAGGGTTCACTGGGCAAATAGTGGACGACAGGTGAACGTTGCCCAGTTAGGAGGTAAAGAGTGTGGTATAGTTGCTGTTAACGTCCCCAACTGCAGGGTGTAGAGTGGGAGAGTGATGGAAGAATATTAGTTGATCCAAAGATGCATAGTCTTTCTGGAACAAAATTGTGCCTGTGCCTAGAGCTCTACACACTAGAAAGACACAGAATGAAAATATAGATAGGAAACCACCCTCTTTTCTGTTCCTTTCTCTCTAAAACTTGAAGTTACGTTGTTTGAATTCTTTCCTCTGTAGATTGAGGGAGCAAGAAGGGAGGGAGGCAAAGGAGACAGCATATGGGATGTATTTACAGATGACAAAGGTTTGCTTATCTGGTTCCTTTATAATCTCTTTTTTTAGGAGATTCCTTTATGATCTTGAAATACATAATATTTAACCATTTGTGTTCAAATGCTTGCTTTTTCAGAACGTGTCTTAGACAGAAGCAATGCAGAAACTGCAGTTGATCACTACCATCGATATAAGGTATTGTCTACCGTCCCTATAGAAGAGAAAAAGAATCAACAAAAAAAAGAGGGGCAGGGTGGAGGGGCACGATCTTCTTGGTAATAGTAATTATCAACGAATTGAAATGTTTGCTATAAACTTTCAGGAAGACATTGAGCTCATGGCAAGTCTAGGTTTTAGTGCGTACAGATTTTCAATATCTTGGGCGCGTATATTTCCTGGTATGCTAAACTTAACAGATAAAAGATTCACTTATAACTGCACGTGACATGGACCACGATATAAATATCTGCATTTTCTGTTGCTTGTCAATGCTAACACAGATGGCTTGGGGGAAAAGGTCAATGAGCAAGGAGTCGCCTTCTATAATGACCTCATCAACTTTATGATTTCGAAAGGTACCATATGTTTTACTGATTAACTTTAAAGGTTACAGCACTTATAGTTGTTAATCATTCGACTGTCTGACAATAGGTATTGAGCCTTACGCAACTCTGTATCATTGGGATCTTCCAAACAATCTTCAGAAGACTCTAGGGGGCTGGATTTCTGACAAGATTGTGTAAGCCACTGCAGGCATCTTAAGTGTGCAGTATGATTAACAATATTTCTTGACGCATAAATGGATGATTACATATGAGATTCTTTTCGAGACAATTTTTTATTTCAAAAGTGGTTGCAACTTGATTTGCTGTAGTTTATATGAGTTTCTCACCATAAAAAATATCCCAGGGAGTACTTTGCATTGTATGCAGAGGCTTGCTTTGCAAATTTTGGAGACAGAGTAAAGCGTTGGATAACAATCAATGAACCTCTCCAAACTGCAATCAATGGTTATGGGATTGGAATTTTTGCACCTGGAGGATGCCAAGGTGAAACTGCTAGATGTTACTTAGCCGCTCATCACCAAATCTTGGCTCATGCTGCTGCTGTTGATGTTTATAGAAGA